TGCATCTAGACAGTCAGCCAGTCAGCCAGCCTGTTGGAAAAACAATGAAGATCGCTTTCATTTTACTTTCCAACTTGCCAACTTTGCTATTGTGGAACATCTATCATATTCTGAAACACAGGGTAAAAACCAAAAGCCATGCCAGGCTAGGAGCAAAGGGAATTAGCTAGATGACTTTTCCCAGAGGTCTCAAGTTTGCGTAGTCCAGCTCTCAAAATACAGGCATGGCAATTCAATGGTGTTTGAAACATATTGAGTCATCCTGGTGAGTCAGGACATGTATTGGCATTTACTGTCAAGACTGTTGCCAAAGCCTGTGTGCTAGGTTTCTCTGCTTCTATTCTTGTCCCAGCACAGCTCATTCTCCACATGGAGGTCCTTGGCCTTGGACATGAAGAAGGGTGTGGGAACAGAGAGGAAGGACAAGTCCTGAGCTTAGCCTGTGAATCTCTTAAATGGCCAGAGACCACTGCTCTGAGACCAGACAGATCAGTTGCCTTCTTGGTTTAAATAGTGAAGTTGTAGAGAGGAATCACCATGAGAGGGACTTGGTGGTGGTCAGTATACAAATTCTTCTTTTCCTCTAAAAAGTTTATTAGAAATTCTTTTGTTGTTGTTGTTGTTTAATCCTTACCTAAGGATAATTTTCCATTGATTTTTAGAGAGAGTGGAAGGGAGAGGGAGAAACAGATCAAGAGGAGAAAGAGAAAGAGAAACATTGGCCACCTCCTGCAGGCTGTGCCCTTGACAGGAATCGAACCCAGGACCCTTCAGTCCATGGGCTGACACTCTATCCACTGAGCCAAATCTGCCAGGGCTTTTCTAGAAATTCTTAAAGGCAGATGTGCATGTGTCCAGCATCCTCGTGTTCCTGTCACCACCATTAAGTGCTAAAATGTCTACGGTGTTCTCCCTCCACCACCCACAGTTAAGTTCTCACAGCCCTTCTTATGTTTCATTTCAGTTGCCACGAGTCATCCTACAGCGAAAGAGTACACTGTTGATATTGAGATCAGTTTTGAAAATGCCTCCTTCCTGGATCCTATCAAAGCTTACCTGAACAGCCTCAGTTTCCCAATTCAAGGCAATGACACTGACCCTGCTGCCAACATTTTGAGCATAGAGGTGACAACAGGTAAGTAAAAGACCCATTGCTTCAGAATGGAGGATTAGGCATATCAAGGAAAGGCTCTCTGAGCTCCTCCCATTAGAGCAAATTATACTGAATAGGCAAGTGCAATGACCCAACAGGCTTGACCTGTGATTTTATTACTTCATTGACTTCCAGATGAAATCCCTGTTGGTAAACTTTGCAGCTAGTTTGCTTATTTTAAATGATGACCGCATGTTTACTTAGTGGTTTGTTTGTTGCTTGTCACAAAGTGGTCCCAAGATATGGCCATGAAAACTACTGGATCCTCTTACCCTGGGCAATCAGTGGATATGGCAAGTATGAGTTCAGGAGACTGATAAGTAGCAATTCCCTTCTTTTTTGGCATCATAGGTCAGGAAATAGGAACCAGGTTCATGCCTAGGTCAGCAGTAAGGCATTAAGCAGGACCTCCCAGACTATGGGATTGGACTTTCTGGTCATTGACTCCCTTACAAGGTCATGATAGCTCTCCTATGTCTCAGGGGACCATCACCTCTATGCCATAGCAGCTGTGAGATGTGATTGCCCTTTATGTTACACAAGGTTACTGCTTTGTAAATTGCAAAGCACTAAGATGTGGGCTTTTTTATTCTAAAATAGTAACAAGAATAAAATTCTTATTTTTTAAAATCTTTTTGAATTCTAATATTTTAAGAGTCTATCACAGTGTCAGTCTGCATATTAATTTTTAGCTCTTAATATATGCTGCTTGAACCTGAAAGAGCTGCCTCAAAACTCCCTTTGGATTCCATTCCCCACCAAATTCTGCATTAGCGTTAATTTCCTTGAGTTACCATGAGGTTCTCTGATCAAATGCATTGTGAGTCACCCACAATGTTCCTCAAATGTATTTATGAAAAGGACTCTTCCGTAGAACATTTCACAAAACCAGTTATGTTGGAGCAAGATAGGATCATCTTTCTATGTCTCCACTCAGCACAGATCTGCATCTAAAATTGCCTCCCCTATTTATGGGAAAAATTAATAATTTGATATATTTTTAGTCAATTTTGTTTTGCTTCCCAATAGTTTTGTAATGGAAACCTTTGGTATTTATTTGAGTACTAGAAAGCTACTCTAGTAAACAAAATGTACCAATAAGTATCAAATATAAGTCGTTCATTTTTGTCGAACAGGTTGTGGTTGTTAACACTTGAACTTTCATTGTGAGCTAACGTTATGTACACTCAATATAGACATATTAAGACAGTCTCCTAGGTTTGTCTCCCTCTGTTAGAAGAGGTGTGATTTCAGGGGCTCCAATGTTTATGCCATTTTAGAAATTTATTAACCCAAGTTTACAAATTGGGTTAACAAATTTACAATTTAAATTAGCAAGTTTCTCTTTTAAGATGCGAATGCCCTGGGAAAGCTTAATTTATCCTGCCAGCAAGACTGGTTATTCATATGTTGAAGGGGTGACAACTTCCTGATAGTTAACTGAGAGAGCTTGTGGCTCAAGGACCTCAAGACCAGAGGGGAAAGCTGGGGAGAGTGGACCTCAGAAAGGAGTGGATGCGATGGGTGGGCAATGAAAATTAGACTTATTGAACATGAAACTAATATCTAAACACCCCCAAATTTCCTCCATTCCCCTCTTCCCATGCCTCTCCCTGCCCATCCTTCCAACAGCTTACTTTATGATCCTTTTAAGGAAGACATTTTTAATAATAGCAAACAAAACTAAGGGCCAGACTGTATGTAAAGCACCAAACAATACCTGGAATGTGGTAGGCGGTCTGGTGATGATAGCTTTTGTCATCCTCTTAAAGCAAGTTTGTATTTTACATGGGAGTCAAAAGTTCTTCAAATACTACCCCCCACATCCCTCTCAAAAAACAAACAAAAAAAATGCTTTCATAGCGGGATTTCAGGTCAGTAAAAGAGATTTTGACAAAGGGGGTCTTTTTGGCTCCCTTCAAATTCCCCCACCAATGATCCCCACCCTCACCAGCAGCCTGGACACCCTCTGATCCCTAAGCTTCTGCCCAGCTCCCAGGACTTCCAGAGCACAGGGCTGCATCAGCATCCAAGGACTCACTGGGACTCAGTTGTTCCTCCTACTTCAGGAACAATTATTTCATGGCTTTCAGGGGGAGTCACTCTGTTGAACCTTTTCCCAGGTGCCCGTCTGCAGAAAAAAACAGCTCCCAGTGATTTGACTTTGGTCCAGTTTTAGAAATAAATTCAAAGCTCTCTGTTTTCAGTGTCCCCTTAGTATCAGGGTCTGTTTGGGCTGCTCACATTTGACACGAAATGTAAAAGGCACAATTTTGCTTGACCTCTTCATTTGTTATCTATTGCTGTGTAACAAACTACCCCAAAACTTAGCGTTCAAACAACAAACATGTCACAGTTTCTGAAGGGCAGAAATTTGTGAAAAGCTTAGCAGGCTCTGGCTCAGGGTCTCTCATGAAGTTGTCAAGCTGTCAGCCAGAGGGGCAGTCATCTGAAGGCTCAACTAGGGGTGGAAAATTTGCTTCCAAGCTCTCTCATGTGATTCCCAGCAGGCCTCAGTTCCTCACTAGCTGTTGGCTGGAGACCTCAGTTCCTCACTCTGTGGTTTTGTGAAATGTCATGACATAGTCTCATGTGATGACAGCTGGCTTCCCCCAGAGCAAGTGGTGCAAGAGAGAATGAGAGAGAGCCACCAAAGTGAAAGCCGGAGTGTCTTTATAACCTAATCTCAGAAGTAATACTTCTGTTACAATCTATTGGTCACACAGACCAACCCCAGTACAATATGAGAGGGAACTACATGAGAGTGTGAATACCCAGAGGCAGGGAGAGTCAGGGCCCATCTTGGAGGCTGGCTACTGGATGTCAGAAAACTCTTGTATCACCATTGTAGGCATGCCTTGGGCTAGGTGGAGTAGTCATCTTATAGATGCTCAGGCCTAATAGCATGGTGATACATATAGGAGCCATGGGAATCTCATGCAGTACTCTTGAACTTCTCAGAAGGGCAATATAGAGTGGAGTTAGTCTATACTTGGAGTCTATAAATGCAAAAGTGGTGACCATCTTCTCTCTCCTCCCTGTTCTGGTTGACGATAGTCTGCAGACCTACTGGAAATGAAATCTGGTGCTCCTGCGAGTCAGGCTACAGGTGGCCTCAGGAACAGTGCCTTCACAATCTCACTTGTCAAGAGCATGACAATGCCCCTGCAGGGCGTTGCAATTGCCTTAAAGGGCTGCCTCCCAATGGACCTTTTTGCCAGCTCCAGAGAGGTAAGTAACTGCTCATTAAATGTTCGTTTGCTGAGTGGCTATTTGGTATCAGATCAAGCAAATGTTTCTGTGTCCTGTGTGTTCTTAAAGGCTAACATGAGATTTTTAAATATTGCCCCCTTTTTTCAGACATAACCCTGAGAATGTCAGTCAGACTCAACGTGGGCTTTCAAGAGGATCTCAGGAACACTTCCTCTGCCCTCTATAGGTCCTACAAGACTGACTTGGAAACAGCGGTAGGTTTTGGGCTCACCGGCCTCTGAACCAAACAAACTTTGGGCTGCACTAAATCTATTGCATTGACTGTGGATAGTTTGCTTGGATCTGTCAGAATTTATGAATGTGGATATTAAAATTACTCCTGTACTTCTGGGATGATGAATTCAGAGGAGCTCGAATCAAACAGTGTTCAAGGGATGATTGGACATCATCTTGCCCTTTAGGTGGGACTTCTTTTTAGAATAGAATTCATTCAGATATGATTTGGTGACACACTGGTAAACTAACTGAAACCCATTCAGAGACCCAAGAGCTTGATCTAGAAGCACTTGATGATACATTTCTATTTGTCTTCATACAGCACATGGATGAAACTACTAACATCTTTTGGGCAGATCAGCCTAAGACTGGCAGAGAGGGTTCCAAATCACTCTATGCTAACAGTTCAGAGGCATTTACACTTAAGCCAGATTTAAATTTACTCCCGTGAAAATAGAGACTATTCCCTTAGTGTTAACTTTGTGCCAGACACTATTGTCAGTGCATTACATTGGATGACTTTATCTAAACCTAAATGCTTTACTTGAATTAACTTATTTGGAATAGACCATCCCAACTGGTATGGCACAAATTATTACCGGTAGCCTGAGATAATCACTTCCCTAACTCTCTGGGCAGCGGAGCTCCTGCTTCAGGCCAGGAGCAGGCCAGGAGCTGACCTGGGTGTGCCACACAAATATTATCATTTTCCATGGGTGCCATGTTAGAGTGCTGATGCCGTAGAGCTCTTGGACATCTGATTTACATATCTGGCATGTAATAGTTCTACACAGCATGAGAGTCCTTCTCATACACACAACCACATGCAAAATCATGTGTGTTTGAGGAAGAGAGTTACATACTAAACTCTGGATCCCCCCATGCAGGTACCTGGTACAGAGTGCTTTGCACATCGCATCTGTCCTGTACATGTGACTTGAGTCAAATTGAATTTCCTATAGGGTTGGTATTCAGAGGAACAGACTTTGGTAAAAACATCATCATAAACCACATTGGCTCAAGCAGCACTGCAATATGTTAAGTGAGGCGTGAGGCAGTGCAGTGGCCTTAAGAGTGTACCTCCTAGATCTCCAACTGCAGGGAATGTAATTGACCAAGGGCCCCAGCTGCTGCCTCTGACGGCCATGACAGTGCTTGTTGCTCACTGCTAATGAATCAGCTCAGAAGGTCTACACCTTCCAGATACAGACCTCTTTGAAGGCCTTCCCGAACCTTCCCACACGCAGTCTAGGATGGTTTCATCCAACCTTCCTTCCCTCTCTTTCCCACTTAGGGTTAAATGGCTTTCTCTGCCTTCATGCTGTCTCTCCCATATTCTTTTTTTCTTGAATACATACATTTTTATTGATTTTAGAGAGAGGAAGGGAGAGGGAGAAAGTGATAGAAACATCAATGATGAGAGAGAATAGTTGGTCAGCTGCCTCCTACACACCCCCTACTAGGGAATGAACCCCCATTCCGGGTATGCACCCTAACTGGGAATCCAACCATGACCTCCTGGTTCATGAGCCAAGGTTCAACCAATGAGTCACACCGGCAAGGCCCCCCATATTCTTTCCTAGTTGTTTTCCTGAGTAAATGTTTCTACATTTAACCTGGTGTTTGCTTTTTAAAGAACATAGAATTTCAGAGGTAGATAATAGGAATGACTTCTTCAGAGATCAGCTGATGCCAGAGCTAACAACATACACAGGAGGGGCTTTCTCTCAGGGTGAACAGGAATATGTGCTTTTTACCCTGTTTCTAATCTTTGACATCTCTGTCGTTGGACCTTGCTACATGACACTGTCTGCTTTATTTTCAGTTCCGGAAAGGTTACAGTATTTTACCTGGCTTCAAATTGGTGACTGTGACAGGGTTCAGGTAAGAATGCTGTAGTTGGGTCATTTCTATCTAATGGCACAGACCAACACATCAGTGAAGGAGGAAAAGCCCGTTAGAGGGGCGTCATCTGGGACACTCAACAGGGGCAGAATGCTGGGGCTGAAAGTGGCCGAAAAACTGAGAATTATAGCTCACTCCTTACAGAGGCAGCTACTTAGAAGGAAGGTGAAAAAGGACTCATGTACGTTCTATGCACACAAGAATTTTACAAAGATATGGGGTAAGTTTATGGTTTAGGGAGTTCAGAAATACAAAAGTGAAATAATGTCACACAATGATGCATTTATTCAAGAAAAGTTGGCCAGCCAGGACCACAGGTGCAGGCTGCTGCCATGTGGGTGGTGCCCCCTAGGGTTGCGCACCCTGGCCGACCTGAGAAGGTTTGCACAGTTTTTCAAACAGTTGGTTGCCAGTGTTAAATTTTAAGAATGTGAGACCGTGAGGATTTTTGCTTCACTTACATTAAGCTTCCCTGGTAACCCTGGGCCAGCATGGCTGTATGACAACTCTCTGCATGTGGCTGCCACTCTATGGCCAGTTTATGTGATTCGTTCAGTCACCCCTGTCTGGCTATTTATTACTTATGTTACCTGTCTGCATACAGTGGAGTGTCCACGCCCCGCCTCAGGCTTTACATTAGAGTTGGAAAACACATTGAGATCAGTGAACCCTTCCTGCCGTTTTGTTTTCTCATACAAATAAACCATAAGGATCTAGACCAGCGGTTTTTAACCTTCTGACCCTTTAAATGCAGTTCCTCATGTTGTGACCCAACCATAAAATTATTTTCGTTGCTACTTCATAACTGTAATGTTGCTACTGTTATGAATCGTCATGTAAATATCTGATATGCAGGATGGTCTTAGGCGACCCCTGTGAAAGGGTCGTTCGATCGCCAAAGGGGTCGTGACCCACAGGTTGAGAACCGCTGCTCTAGACTCTTCCAGGTCAGTCACTGCTTTACTGAACTGCGTGGTCTCCGTCCAGGCCCGGAAGTGTGGTCGTGGCGTATGAAATCAGAACTACAACACCATCCCCTGGGTTAATACCCAGAGCGAATGAGCTGGTCACACAGAACCTCAACCAGACCTACAAAATGGACTTCACTTCTTTCCAAGCAGTGACTAGTAGTAAGTAGACGTTGCCACATTTTTTTTTTCCTGTGCAATGATTCCATTTGGATATGACAAGGGTGTTTACTGTTATGCTGAAATCTACGAAATTACATTGTGATGTCCCCTGTGGGGAGAGTCTTCGGTCCCCAGCATAGAGGTCTATGTGCCATCTCCCTGCCTTAGGCTGGTGCAGAGCCTCTCAACAAGGCTAATTCACTGTAGTTGGGGGAGAGGTTGCCAGGGGAGAGATTTTGCAAGGGGGCCACAGAGCCACCTGGGTTTATGGATTTTAAAAATCACTGTAACAGGTCCAAGATATCCAAATAGTACAACCAATGTGGTGGTGCAGGTTGGGATATTCATGAAGTGCCCTGGTATTAAATAGGGGGCCGCTGTTATTTTAGAGCAGTAGTTCTCAAAGTGTGGCCCCAGACTAGCAGCATCAGCACCGCAGGGGAACTTGTTAGAAATGCAAATTGCTGGGGCCACCCCAGACCAAGCGGGGCCAATCTGTTTCACCAAGCCCTCCAGGCGACTTGATGCCCAGGAAAGTTTGAGAACCCCTACTTTGGATCACACTTAACAGTGGTGAGAGTCCTGGGATTTTAGATGTTCTCCTACATTTTACAAATGGGCTCAGTGCTGGGCTCTGTTGTGTTAGGAGGTGGGTGGACCTGTCCAAGGGGTAGCAAGGTGAGCTGGCTGGGCAGAGATTTGGCGGCCGGAGTTTGGCCGGTAGACATCCTGGATAACACAGGCCCATGGTCCCAAGTAAAGGTAGTTCCTCTTTGGCGCAGCGTGGTCCACCGTGGGGGAGGACAGTGCAAGGAGGGCCAAGGGCACAACTGGGAGGAAGGGCGCCCTACTCAGCGGTAAGGCTGTCCTCACAGCAGGTTTGTGCTCTTTCTCTTTACAGTCTCTGCTGGTATTTTTAACAGCGGATCTTTTAAAAAAATAAAATATTGAAAGAGATAAACACAATGGTAAGAAAGTGCTGCAACAGGTGCAAGATAAAACAGCAAAATAAAAATTCAGGATAAATAAGGGAAAATTTCAGAACAAACTAATGAAACCCAGAAAGTTGAAAAAAAGGGGGGGGAATAAGTGGCCTAAAAGTGTGGACTCACACAGAAGCAATTTCAGCAATGCCACATCTTCACCCCTAACATCGCCCCTGAAAAGTTATGTTTATTTATTGTTCTGAGGGAATAGGAGAGGAGTAGTTTCTTGCATAGGTGTTCTTCAAGTATTATTATTTTTCCCCAAAATTTCAGTTGTGCTGAGGATAGTCAGACATTTAAATGAATAAAATGCAGCAGGCTTACTGATCAGTGGCTGTCAGTCCAGAACTAAAGGTGCTTTAGTAGCCATGGCTTATTCTTCCAAAGAATAATGAAGTCATTGGGAATGGTACTCGACTCCCCTTTCTGCAGAGGATCTACATCCATCTCTGTCCTCCTTCAAAGACCAGAATGTGAGTCTGTGATGTACTCAGCCTTAGACCACGAAACATGAACTTATGGGGCGTGCAGACACCACCCTGCTCTCCATAGTATTGGTGGTGTGTACCCAGAATACAAATATCAAAAAATTCAAGTGACTGCGTGCTTTTACAAAATTGTATCTGAGGGACAGGGGAGAGCAAGAGAACAAAAAAGAAAAATGCTGAGTGAATGAGTTGGTATGAGGAACCCATTTTTTAAAAATATATATATATTATTGATTTTTTTACAGAGAGGAAGGGAGAGAGATAGAGAGTTAGAAACATCGATCAGCTGCCTCCTGCACACTCCCTACTGGGTATGTGCCTACAACCAAGGTATAAGCCCTTGACCGGAATCAAACCTGGGACCCTTGAGTCCGCAAGCTGACACTCTATCCACTGAGCCAAACCAGTTAGGGCAGGAACCCATTTTTAAATCTGTCTTTATGAAACACAAAAAGCTGATGGCAATCTTTAGAACAGTTCCATTGGTTTTGTCATATGTTAACCCTCTGGTGATCCTCGATTAATCAGCAGGGTCCCTTAACTAGACATCCCTTTCTTCAATCACTGCCTATAAATTTATGATCAGTTCTATACAACCATATGATCCTGGCGGTTTTACTAGTCATAGTTATTAGCAATGATAGTAATGAAAAGAGGGCGCTATTATTGTACATTTTCTATGGTAAGCCCAGTGTGTTCCACATATTTCATCTATATATATTCCCTGAGGCAAATATTACTATCTTCATTTTACAGGTGAGGAAATGGAGGCTTAGAGAGGGCAAATAATTTGCTCCAGGACTATAGTAAGTAACGCAAGTGTGTGTGACTTCAAAGCCAGTTCACTGTGCTAACTATTCATAGGTGGCCTTGATTCCTCATGGTTGAATGTGCTTTTTAAAAATCTTAAACCTAAATAGTAGGAACCTAAAAAAAATGGTAAGAAATATTTAGATACCTTGACATTTTGAGCAGAACATCAGACCACCTGGAATGAATCTTAAGGTGTTTGAGTTCCCTGTTTACAGTGTGGAGAAGTCTGGTCTGAGCAGGAAGCCCATACACTAGAGGCTCATAGTGCCTCCTGACCCAGCTCCTCCAACCCCTCCCCTCATGGACCGCAGGAGCGACATGCACAAGACATAGCTTAAAGGGAGAACCGCCTGTTGTGTAAAAACAGGGCCACCTTAGAAGGACATACAGAAATAACAAATTGTGTGTTTTTATCCAGGGGATTACATCATGCAATGGCTCTCCAGAGTTTTACTGTGAAAACAATAACAATAGCTACTGTGCCCCTAAGTCACCTCCCAAGGTGGCTTGAATTTTCTGCCAGACTATTTGAAATATTAAAAATATACTTGGGTTCCCCATTACTGCCATTGGGGACTCTTAAGTGTGCAAAGACCCCACACTGGAAGTCGGGCTCTCACTCCTTGGGCCGCAGAGAACAGCTGCCCAGGGATGGAGGGAGGAGGACGTGTTGCCTCCGTCTAGGGAGCACACAGATGAGATGCTGTAGCGACCTCCTGAGAACCCTGTGGAGTGGCGTCTGGTGAGTAGTAGTAGCTGACTTTACTTGCTTTGGAGCCCCACTAATTGTTTTCTTTGGGTTTCCAGATGAAACCAGGTTCTTTGTCACACCAGAAATCATCTTTGAAGGGGATACAGTAACTCTGGTGTGCGAAAACGACGTTCCGTCCTCCAACGTGTCCTGGCACCACGTGGGGAGGCACGCCAACATCCAGAACGGCAGCCGGTTCTGGGTGTACACCACCGTACTCAACAACCTGACCTCCGTGTCGCGCCTCACCGTGTTCAACATCACCCTGGGGGACGCGGGTGGGTGTCCTCCCAGTAACTCACTGGGGGGTGGGGGGAGGGATGAAGGGCTCTGAGAGAACAGACTTAAGAACGTGTAGAGAGCGTTTCATCTTCAAAAAGGAGTCACCAAGCTCGACTTTTCCAAATTGAAAATCAATCCCATGGCATATCCAGCCAAGCAAATTAGTCTTGGGAGACAAGTACAGTTTTCCACATTTACTGAAACTTAGGAGTTTGGAACCTGACACAAAAAACCAGACTTATGCTCTTAATTTTTTAAAATTTTAAAACAGCTCTGTTGAGGTAGAATGGACATATAATAACTGTGCATATTTAAAGTGAACAATTTAGTAAGTTTTGATCTATGTGTACCTCTGAAACTATCGTCCTAATTGGGAGAGTACACATTTCCATCACCTCCCCTCAAAATTTCCTTGTCCTCTTTTGCAATCCTTTCTACCGGCCCCTCCTTGCCCCTCTCCCCAGCACCCTCAGAGCACAAGTCTTAAACCTGACATCCTAGAATTTAATAAGCCCCCGAGAGTCCAGAGGCTAACAGGGGGGTCTTTTTCTGTGAATGACGTTAGGTGGCAGACACCTGGGTGCTATCACATCTTTGTGGATCCTGATTTTGCCACAGGGCTCAGTAGAATGCCAGAGTTACCCCGTCTTCCAGTTCCCCAAGGCTTTCCTGTGTTTCCTTCCCACCTCTGTCACCCCTACATGTTTTACTTACCAGTAAGTACCACGTGTGAGATCGCCTTGTGCCATCAGATGTACCTTCATTGGCCTTCGCACTTCCTGAACATTCCTTCAGGGCTGACAGACCAAGTTTCAGATGCGTTTGAAAAGGATGTTTCTCGAAGCACTGTCATGACACATGCCCCGAGGCTGTCATTCTAAGTATCAATAGCAATCAACGCATAGTAACGAATGCTTCCGTGTATTCCGTGCAGGTGAATATATTTGCAAACTGACCATGGATATTTTTGAATATGAGTCCAGAAAAAAGATTAATGTGACCCCCATCCGAATTTTTGCAATTGAATACGTGAAGGTGACGTGTGACAACAGTCCCGTGTCCCTGAACTGCTGCAGTGAGATCAATGTGAACTGGAGTAAAGTGGAATGGAAACAGGAGGGGGAGATAACCATTCCAGGTAAGAATGTCGGATGCCCTTTCGTGGCCAAGGGAATATGGGAGATGCCGTGGGTGGGAGAGGAAATGTCCGATGGGTGTTTCTTTCTAGACTTCAGACTGTGAAAAAGTATTAGGCTTGATGCCAGCTCCCGCTTAGCCATTCGAGAACAAAATTCCAAAAACATATGTGCATATGTGTCATGCTTGGGTCGTCAAGATCCTGGCAGAGAAGATCCAAGAGGGAATGACATGATGACTTAGGTCCATGAAGGCTGCTGCCTATGGAAAAGCTTGTCCCCACCTTCCTAGCCTTTCCATCTTCAGCAAAGAGCGAAGGGTGAGGTCATCACCTTTGCTTCGGAGTCTGACTTGGAACTTCTCATTCCATGTCTCTTCTCACTTCTCTGCCTTCGTATCCACAGTTTCTTCTCTGTTATCTACTTCTGTGTCTCTGGTTTGTCTGTTTGTTTTGGCTTTTTGGTTTTTATCTCCCTGTGTAGACCTATTTACCTCTCAATTGTCTCATGTCCATTTCTGATCCATGTGCTTTCTTTTTAGATCTGAGATCTAACTGAAGTCCCCCACCCCCCAGTTTACATGGTGAATGACAATGCTACTACTAATAAATTAAAATAGCAATACTAACTCTGCCATAACAGTTTGTGATAAACCAATTCTTTTTTTAAAAACAGCAACAACATGTTATTACTTTTAACCACATTTTAAACTTGACTACAAGTTGGAAGCTGGAGGTTTTTTTCCATCCAGTTTTCAAAAAGAAATTGGGTTCCAAATTAAATGGCTTAGTCACAGTTGTCACAATAGAAAAAGGATTGGGACTCACTTCAAACCTTGTGTCATAAGACTGGTGTTTATCTGGGCCAAACTCTCTGCCCATGCCTGGTGGGCCAGGGCTGGGGCGCACTGACCCGGCAGTGTGCACCTTTCTGCCTAAAGCCCTCATATAACAATACCCAACCCTCCCCTTCAGAAATGACAGTATTAAGTGTCCATATTTACCCTAAAAAAATCATTCCAGTGACGTGTGGCTTCACCGGTGAAATACATCCGTGATGGTGGAGGCTTTATTTTACAAAGCCTTTGCTATCCGACCACATTAAATTATGAAATAAAAAATAATGATCGGTTGGCACGCACCTCTTCCTGAGCACACCTCTTTTGTAACTCCCATCTCAGTTGCTGTTTGTATTGGACTTTAAAGCCCCCAGAAGAATGGGAAAGGCATCTGGTAAGTGCTGGAATGTTGACACTGGTCCGCGTAGTCACTTCCTTGATTGTGAAGGAAGAGGAGGTGTGGGCATCCTGAAGGAACCGCCAGCTGGGAGAAAGACCTTGCAAAGTTCCTGGGAAAGCCATAAGCTCTCCAGGGTGAGAGGTGAAAAGCATCGCCCTCTGGCAGACGAGCCAGGAAGTCTGCGGTGCAGATGCTCAGAGACCTCTCTGTGGCCACCACTTCAGACAGTCCCCATGCCCAGTGCGGGCTCAGGGGCCTCAGAACAATGGGTTTCCTGTCACAGGGCTGGCCGCCTGGGGAGCTGCAGAAATCAATTCTCTGATGAGTGTAGCCTCTGCTCTGGGCACCCTGCCCTTCCTCCCCGACCCTGACTGTCCCCTCTCTGCAGCAATTTTGCTCCGAGTTCTATAGGTGATTCCGAAGCCATTTTTCCAGGCGAGTAAGAAACAATCTAGCTGACTAATTCACCCCAAACATTTGGAACTGAACGTGTTACCTCGTCTCAGAAACACATAGTGTTATTTTCAAAACACTCTGGCAAGAAATAAGACAGAAAGAAGTGATCAGCAAGGGTAGGATTTCTAGCTTTAAGGGGAGAGGGTCTGTTGAATAGGGAGGGATTTCTGCAGTTTTTCAAGTCAACAGACACCAACTATGATATTAATAATAATGGTATCAGAAGTAATACAGTAGCCCCCCTTATCCACAGGTATACATTCTAAGACCTCCCATGAATGCCTGAAACTGTGGAGAGTACCAAACCCTAGATATACTGTTTTTTTGCTAGACATACATACTTATGATAACGTTTGATTTATCAATTAGGCACAGTAAGAGATTAGCAATAATAACTAATAATAGAACAATTATAATATATGGTAATAAAGATTATGTAAATATGATCTTTCTCTAAATATCTAATTGTACTGTTACATATAGCGCACATAAGGTTTCATCATGCTACTGAGAATGATGTGCAATAAAAATTTATGATTTGTTTATTTCTGGAATTTTCCAAAATATTTCTTAATATTTTCAGGCCATGGTTGACTGTGGGTAACTGAAATAGCAGAAAGCAAACTGCGGATAAAGAGGGACTACTGTAGTATTAATGCTGCTACTAGGAGTAGTAATAGCAGAGGTAAAAATAGTTATTATTGTTAACATGGCTTCTCATTTTTCTATATCCAACACTAGCTTTGACTGTGCAGGAATGTATTGACAAGTTGGGGGAATTGAAGGGCAACAGAGTTGATAGTGTCACCATAGCTCTTCTTAGGGGGCATGATGGTAAAACATAATGAAGTCGAATTCCCTTTTGCCCACAAGCTAGGACGGTTCCCAAATGAGTTCATAAACTTCTTCCTGGCCCTGCCTACCCTATTTCCTGGCTCGTCTCATGCAGATTACTCATAAAGCAATTGAATCTTTACTAGAGGGTGTCAGCCCCTTCTTGGCTGGCTGACAGACGTGTGACGGCAGGCAGCACCGAGTAACTGGTGAGGGAGGGACAGCCTCAGATTCCACTGTTCCCTTCTTTGTCTCCTCTTCCCAGTTGCCCCACTTACGTTTTTATGTTATTCTGCATGCTTGTGCGCTGTCTGAAATGTTAGTTTTGCAGCCAAATAGCATGAGGAAGAGATAAAGAAGTGAGACCACCCTTTTTCCCTTGTTGAATAGAAATCAGTCATGCGCTGTTCATGTCACTTTATGTAGTCTCCATGTTTGTGTGTATTTTTCAGGGGTTTTTTGGTTATGATTTATTTCTAGTTTCATACCATTATGGTCAGAGAAGATGCTTGTTATGATTTCAATTTCTTATATTTATTGAGACTTCTTTTGTGTCCTAACATGTGCTCTACTAGTATCCTAGAAAATGTTCCATGTGCACTTGAAAAGAATGTATATTCTCCTGCTTTGGGATAGAATCTCTGCAGGTATCAATTAAATTCATCTGATCTAGTGAGTAATTGAAGGCCACCATTTTCTGGTTGGTCTTTTGTCTGGACTATCTAGCCACTGATGTCACTGGAGTGTTAAAACCCCCTACTATAACTGTATTACTATCAATCTCTCCCTTTTTGTCCATCAAGATTTGCTTTACATATTTAGGTCCTCTATGTTGGGTGCATAAATGTCTACAAGGATTATATCCTCTTGTTGGATTGCCCTCTTTGTCATTACGTAGTGTCCTTCATTGCCTCTTACTATAGCCTTTGTTTTAAAGTCTATTTTGTGAGATATAAGTATTGCTACCAGAGCTTCTATTTCCTTTCCATTAGCATGAAATATATTTTTCCATCCCTTTAGTTTTAGTCTGTGTGTATCTTTTGTCCTGAGGTGGGTCTCTCTGGACAGAACATACATGGGTCTTGTTTTCTTATCCATTCAGCTACACTTTATAAAGTGCCCTAGGAGTCCGCCTGCCTCAGGGACTGAGGCGAGACCAAAGTAGAGAAGAAACTGGATGTACTGAAGCATTCTCCATCCTGGCGGCAAGAAAGGGTCACCCCTTAAAAAAAAAAAAAAAAAAAAAAAAAAAGACCAGGTGTCAGGGCTTCACTCTAGAGCAGCAGTTCTCAACCTGTGGGTCGCAACGCCTTTGGGGGTCGATGATCCTTTCACAGGGGTCGCCTAAGACCATCGGAAAACACATATATAATTACATATTGTTTTGTGATTAATTACTATGCTTTAATTATGTTCAATTTGTAACAATGAAATTGAGGGTCACCACAACATGAGGAACTGTATTAAAGGGTGGCTGCATTAGGAAGGTTGAGAATCACTGCTCTAGAGCAACTAAATTGGAATTGGGTTTGGGCTCCAGGCAGTGGCATATGTTCTTAAATGTCACTGGAGATTTTATTGGACAAAGGGGAGCAGGAGCCGCGGACTTAGTCTAATCCCTCATTTACACAGGAGGACAAGTCTCCATGACAGTGGCAAAAGGCTCCCTCCTCACCCACAGCTCTTTCTCTTTCTCCTCCATGTCGCTCTCTGTTCCTAGCGATGCCACAAACAAATCAGATTTTAAATAGTGATTCCTCTACTTGAAGGAATGCCCACCAAATTGGATTTTAAAAAAAGAAGAAAGAACTTGTGCCAAGTCTTCAGTCTTAGAATAATGAGCCTACACCCTGTGCCTTTCAGTAGGACAGTGTCTAGTCTCGGGAAGCCATGATCCCAACTCAGCCAGGTGCCCTTGTCCTGATGCAGGGCAAAGTGGGGCACCTTGTGGACACCCAGGCCTTCATCCATTAAATAGTGATAATGGTATCTACTTTACAAGAGAGGAGAAACACTGAGATGATCAATGTAAAATATTTAAAATAGACCTGAATGCACTGAGTCTACCCCAATAACTATTTTCTGATCATGACGATAGCTTTAAAAACCAGCCCCTCACTTTTCCTCAGCGTGGTTGGTGGGAAATTTCCATCGGATATGATCTAATCTTGAGCAGCAAATGTGTAATTCATACCATCTCTTCTCCAGAAAGCACAGTACCAGCTTATCAGCTGCACTCAGTACCCTCCAGGCAGGACCCCGAGGTGCACAGCCCCATGGTGTTGTATGGAATACAATGGAACGCTGCCAGTTCAGAGTTCCCACCTTTGTTTTCTGAATTTGCCATCTCTCTGGAGCCTTATCCCCACGCTATAGGGTTCAGCCTCACAGAACTACTGTTTTTTCCTGAGCAAGACCAGCACGCTGCTGCTTCTGTGCGTGGCTTCCACCTGTAATTTCTGATTTAACTGTAGAATTTTTTCTTGACATAAAATCTGTGTGTTTGTCCAGCTCGGGGTCTCCCCACCTCAGCACTAGTGATATTTTGGGCCAAATCATTCTCAGCTGAGGGTAGCTGCCGTGTACATTGTAGGGTGTTTATCAGAATCCCTGCCTCTACTCACTAGATGCCAGGAGCACCCCTAGTTGTGACAGCCAAAAAATGTCCCCTAATATGGTCAAGTGTCCCCCCAAAAGGCAAAATCACCCCTGATTGAGACCAAATGCATAAGGCAGACCAGAATGGAGTTGCTTGAGTTAGAGAAAGGGTTGGGGGGCGGGGGCGGGGGAGGCGGCTAGAGCC